CGGGGCGGCGCGGGCGCGACCTGGGGGCGACGCGGCTGCGATCCCGGGGGACTCGCTTCCGGCTCGCTCGCCTCGGCGGGGGGCTCCTCCTCCCCGCGCGAAGGCTCCTGCGGTCCCGGCTGCCGAGCTCGAGAGCCATCGCCCTTGGCGCCGCAGTCGCGCCTCCACTCGCCCTTCCCGGGGGGCTGCCGGAAGTTGGCGCTGTCCCCACCCTTAAGTGCTAGGCCGTGGAGCGGGGTATCCCAGAGGCCCAGCTTGGGGGCTGGCGACTCTTGGCCCTCGCACCCGTTCCCAACTGCGCCCCAATGCCAAAGGTCCCGAACGACCGGACCGTACCTCGCGATTCCCAGGCGACGCTTCCCTCGCTCCGGTCCGGTGGGGCTGCGCCCAGGCTGGGGCGGGGTGCGCCCGGCGGGCTTCTCGTTAGCTTCCGGGTGCGGTCCCGCGGTCGACCCCAGCTCTCTCTTCGGCGAGGCGTTCCGAGGCCGCTGCCCGAGAGAAGTCCCAGCGCAGGCAGGGTGGACGCGGGCGTGCAGGGCTCCGCCTGGCCCTGGGGACGCCCTCTTCCCGGCGTCCCTGAGAGAAGCCTCCAGATTTGAAAATCAATTCAGCGTCGGGTGTAATTGTGCCCTAGCACAGTCACGCTTCAATCCAGGAGAGACCCCGGCCCCGAGGTCTGGTAGGGACGCGTGGGGATACACCCGGCCGCCACATGCCGCGGCTTTCTTTCATTGACAAAAGAGAGAAAAAAATCCGTAACAAAAGGCAGAGCTCTGTCGCTTAGGTGCTTTCATCCCGTTGGAGAAAGGACAGATGTGCCCATTGTCCGGCCCTTGGCAGTTACAGCCGGGTCAGCGCCGAGCCTCAGCCACGGGTGAGGGCGTTCACAATGGGGACAGGAGACGGGATCTGGGCCCAGGCCTGGGATGAAGTGTGTGTGGCCTTCGCTGCTCCCCAACTCAGGGGCTTGGGTTGTTAGAACTAGGGTGGGGAGCCCAGCAGCCTGTGCTTTTGCGGAGAGTGCTCCCTGGCACTTGGAGTGGCCAGAGCTCAGCTGGCGGCAGCAGTGGTGTTTGGACCACAGGACAAATGTTTGGGTGGAGACCCTGGGCCCGGTCCCCAGTAGGTAAGGCAGGGCAGGCCCATCACTTTGTCCAGTTCCCTGCCACTGCTCGGCAAGGCCATGGGCCAGATTCACTAAGGTCTGTGGGTACAGCCAGCCTGACTTCCTTGGAAGGACCAGTGTTCTGGGATTGGCTTTGCTGGCTGGCTCTCCTGGGAGGGACACTCGGGTCCTGTCTTAGTCATATGTCCAGATACCTGGGAAATGAGGCACCACCCCAAGGGGCTCCATCTCTACCTGCTCAATGCACACTCAGGAGGTCGGAACATCCCTGCTCCGTAGGAAATGGTTTTGGGGAAAAACCGGGCAAAATGAACTCAGGAAACAAAAGGATTCTATTTCAATCCTATCTAAATCTGCCTTTTCATACACACATATACATAAGCATAAAGCACACTTTTGGCTTAGAGGATCACAATATGTTGGTAGGAAGATGAATCCTTTAAAAAATAATTTCTCTTCTTCTCTCTCTCTCTTTTTTGTATAGCAGAGAGCGCTGGTCTTCCCAGGAGATGAGGCCAAACAATGGGTTAAGGTAGCAGGCAGCCTTTGAGCTCAACTGCCCCCTACTTATTTTAATCCCACTGAAATGATTGATTTGCCCTTATGACAGCTCTTCTCACAAGGCAGTGTGTCAAAAGAAAGGAGTAAATGCCACCACTTGCACACATTGTCCATGGTTTTCTCTTGTGTGGCTAATTGGGTACTTGGTCCCGGAAACCCTCTTTCTGATAAGGATTCCAGCTGAGTCCCTAGAGGCCACCAAAAGAGTCCTGGGACCCCTGAGTTCAACTCCCACCCTCCCTGCACCCCACTTTTGTGCAAAGGGGATCCCATGTCAAGGGCTGGTCCCCAAAGCAGAAGAGAAGGGAAAGATCTGGGTGATTGTGTTGAGGTCGCTCTGTTCAGTGTTTGACCCTTTAAAAAAAAAAGCGTGTGTGCAGAACTTGCATTGGCTTGCTCCTCTGCCTCATCTTGCAAGGCTGTTCACACCTTTTAGTTAGCAGTGGTTTCCCTGTCTTTGATGAGCTGCAATGGCTGCCTAGCCAGAAGCAGCATAGTCTTGCTTGGCCTCTGGGGACTGAGTTTCCAGAAGGTGCGGGGAGGAAATGTACTCTTCCAGGAGGTAGACCTGGTCAAGGTGAGGGTGAGTGGAGGCCTGAAGGCACTCGGAAGATTGTCAGCTGCCCGAGGGCTGGGATGACTTATTGTCCTTTGTGCTGTCCACCTGCACAGCACAGTGTCTGGCATTCACTGGGTGGGGGTATTAGAGCTTCTTGAAACTTGGTAGGTCAGTGTATGAGAGTTGGGGGGTATAGTTAGGGCCTCAGATTTTGAGTAGCTTTGAGGAATTTAAAGAAAAAAAAGTGTTAACATAAGAAAATTGCGTACAAGCATATATGTAAAAAAAAAAAAGACTATTGACTGGAGGCTTGTTGTGGATAATATTTTCAGTGAGGAAACAAGATTTCAGGATGTTTGTTTTGTAAGTGTCAAGAGGGGGGATGGGGCACAATTTGCCTTATGCTGCCAGGCAACCCCACCAGGCTTAGAAATGAAGCAGAATAGGGCATTTCCTCCAAATACTGTCCTCACAGCTTCTCTGGAACATTGGTTTGGAAGTAATGCTTCAGCTCTCCTTGTATAGTTGGAGCGAGCTGCGCAGCACCAAGGCCAGCCCCAGTCCTGAAGACGTGTTTCAAGCTCTGCAGCGGTGGGGCTCACAGTCAGGGATTGCTTCCTGGCTGCAGCCTCCGCGGGTCAGCCACCCCTGAGAAGGGCCGTGGGCCGAGCTCTCCTGTTTTTCTCTCCAGCCTTCCAACCTCTGGACAAGTTTTGTTCAGAAATTGCTGCTGACTTGGAATAGAGTATCAAGAAATTTAGATGCCAGAGGCTCAGTGTTTTGCTATTTAAAAACCATTTAAAGAATCCTAACTGGTCACTGGGCTGTGGGACAGCTCACAGGTAAAGTGCACGCAGGTGCCAGGCCCTGGGTTCAAGTCCCACACCAAAAAGATGGGGTTTCATCTCCAGGGCCAAAGAAGTGGCAACCAATTATTCTAGCTCCTTTGTTTCGTCTTTATGTTCTGTTTAGCCATAGTTTTATTGTTTTTTTCTCCTTTTCCTTCTTAAGTTATGGCTTTTGCCCTTGGAGACTGTATTTCTAACTTGGCTTGTTTGTGCTTTTCTTTATTCCATCTCTGACTCAGTCCTCCAAACCCCAGAGAGAAGATTCTGTGCCGAGGATGGGCTGTTCTGCCAACAAGGCCGGCTGGCCCCCTGTTCCAGGGCCTGCTGAGATCACCGAGGGGCAGTGGAGAGTCCAGAGCACTGGACTGCACTTTGGGGTGCTGCTTTTTGGCCAGAGGAAGGTCCCCCTGCTCCACTGGGCCCTAGGGTTGCCCACCTTGGCGAGGGCTGACCAAGGGTTTGGTCCCAGAGCACTGGAGGAAGAGAAGTGCCCACTGGGCATCTTGGGGTGAAGAGGGAGTTCTTTAGGGTCCCTTCAGCAGGGTTGCTTTTGTGTTCAAACCTGGCTAATGTGGAAATACATCACAAAGGGAATTGGCCAAGGCCGCAGTGAAGTAGTCAGATTTGGGGAAACCCGGAATGCTTTGCTTTCAGGGCCAGGCATTTGGGGCTGTGGCTCTGGATTAGCTTTGGACAGGGGCTGGAGCCAGAGTTGCTGAGGGGTGTAGGGCAGCTTCACTGTCACCCGGGGGTCTCCAGGCATTGCGCCTGCTCCACTCGAGGGCTGTGGAAGGCTAGAGGCACATCCCTGACTGTGGACTGGCCACCCTGCCCTGGGCTGCCTGAGCACTGGGCACGATGATGCCCGACAGGCTGACAGCAGCTGTGCCTGCCTAGGGAAGGAAACTAAACAAATCATTTTGGTGTCTAATCAATTAGTGTTTGCCCAGTCAAGTACCGTAGTTTTAACAGAATAATCGTTACTGCCTTTGTCTTTATTTGACCCACAGACACCTAGAAGATTTAAAAATAAAAGCCCAGTGTTCTGTACTCCTTGCCCCTGGCCTGTGCCTCTCTTCCAGCTGGGCTTGCTTGCCTGGCCCAAACTTCCTCTCCCCTGCCCCCCCTTTCTCTCTCTTTCCTCTCCCCCCTCTTTCTCCTCCTCTCTCCCCTCCTTAGAACACTGCAAATCCCACATCCTCTTACCAAGTGGGCAGGCCTTGTGCACACCTTTTGTCCTGAGCACTGTCCAGGTGTGGATTATGCAGCCACCAGCCTCCAGTCGCCTAAGCCTGCCCTCATGCTCCTTCCAGAACTGCCCAGAACCAAGAAGTCCTGTGTGTGCAGCTCTGGCTTCCAGGTACCAGTAAGAGCTCCCCCTGCAGAAGGGGGCTACTCGGGGGAGCTGAGCAGGTAGGGCACTGGGCTTTAGAGATGTCACCTCCCAGAGCTGTTCTTTGGGCCCAGAGAGTGGGGGGAGAGCAGGGCTCCTAAGTAGCTGTGCCTGGGTCCCCAACAAGACACGTGTGGGTCTGTGTGCCATGTGTGGGCCTGTTGGTGGTGGCTCACGTCTAGATCTTTGGCCACCAATGCTGGGCTGTAGGCGTCCCAGAGAGGTGGAGGGAGGAGATCACCAGGGCCAGGAGACCCAGAGGATGGGCTGTGAGGCTGTGAACTTTTGGGGAAGCAGGTGGCCAAGAGACCTGCATCTTTGGGATCCCTGAATCATTTAGGGGAGTAATGAGCCAGGGTTAGGGGCTGGTAGGGTGATAGGAGCATGTGTACTGAGTCTGTCCTAAGGGAAAGCAGCGGAGGTAGCTGGAAGTGACTCCTTTACCCTCCCCACAGGGGCTCAGGCCAGCTTTGGGGACCTGCCCTGCCTTTCCAAGTCTCCAGCAGAGCAATTTAGCCTCAACAATAGATGATTATAATGTACTTGACTAATGCCCGTATTTTCCTGTTTAACATACATTAATCCAAGTAACAAAAAAATCAATATTACTAACAACACTGCAAACAAATCCTAGTCTCTCTCACGGAAAAACCTCGGATTTTCAGTCAGTCCTAGCCTGTGAAGTTTGTTATCCTCCTCTAGTCCACTGCTAGCTCCTGGAATCCAATTCTGCCTTTCATAGTCCTGCTCTGAAATCCCAGATTTTTATTTTCTTTTGCCATGGTGGGGGCATCGTGGCACCCTTCAAGTCGCAGTCTCCTCTCTCCGAGGCCTTTTGAGCACCAGAAGTTGACTTCAAGAATGCCAGTGCTGGCCAGTGGCTTCAGTTTTTATTGTTCCCCTGCTTAACAAAACCCCAGAGGTGCCAGCCCCTGGCTCCCCCACAGCAGAGGCTCCATGCCTGACTTCCCGCCCTGCTAATCTCAAGTGGCTGCCGTGAGTGGGTGTTCATGATTCTCAGTGTGATTATTTTTTAAAAATTGGTATTTTCCACCTGGAAGGAATAAACCAGAAGAGCTGGCTAATGAAGGAATTTAAGTTTGCAAAACACTGTGAATAATTTAGTATTGTATTTCAAGGGGGAAAAAATAGCTTTCTTAAATCATCCCCGCAGTATAAATTGCAGACTTACAGTATGGTCCTGGTAAGTCTAAATTTTTAAAGGAGCAATATTCAAAGAGACATAGATGTCTGTATTAATTATTTATTCGCCGGTGCCTTCCTTCGTTTCTAACTTATTATTAATTAGGCGCCTCTAGTCTTTTGCAGAGCGCTCCACGGAGCCGGTTGCAGCTTTAAATATGAATTAAAAGCAAATCCAAGCTACTGTAATGCGAAAATTATTCCGTGTCTTGCACGGCAGAGATGAATAGCTGCGTGGATCAATACCGTGAAGCTCGGCTCCCAACGACAGGGTTATTGATAGCTTATATTAATGATGTTAATGATGGAAAAAGGAAAACAACGGTCCACCCGACTTAGAAACTTTTTAGCCACTGAAACCCCTCGATAAAAATGGGAAGGGGGCAGGAATCGGGCTTAAGTGTAATAAGAAAATTATTTATGAAACCAGATAAATGACTTCAGAGCTCTGATGCATTTGAACCAAAGGCTCCTGGCTCCGGCTGGGGAGACCGCGAAAGCCCCAGGGCCGGAGTGGGGCTCAGGGACCCTGCACCTCCGGTGAGCGAGCCCTCCTGGTCCAACAGGACTCGCCCGGGCGCCGCACAGGAGCTCTGGGGATCTGCCGGCTGAGCCGGTCCCTGGGGAGCCCGGTCAGTGGGGTCCAGGTCCTGGGCCGTGGCCGATTTCCTCACTGACTGTCCTGACGCCCGGCCTGAGACGCGAGTCCAGAGCCCAAGCCGAGTGGAAGCCGGTTCAACTCTGCCTGCTTGACCAGGGGTCGCGGAGCCGCCCCTCCATCCCCATGCACACGGTGGCTGGTGCCTGAGCGAGGAGGTCGGATCCAGGCTGGGCAGAGCCCTCTCGTGCCTCCATGGCCCTGGCTGCTTAGACCTGGGGGCCCGTTTCCTGGCGGCAGCGCGACCGGTGAGGTTCGCCTGGTGTGCGCCCCTCACCGCCAGCCCCGATATCGATCCACTGCCCCTTTCCCCCTAGCTGGGGGCAACGGAGAGGGAGGAGGGCGCCGGGCGGGGAAGCCAAAGGTTAAATCCCGACCCGGGAGGACAGCAGCAAAGGTCAGAGCCCGAGGGTCAGCATAGCCAAGTTCCCCTCCCCCTCCGCAGGGTCCCCGTCTGCGCGCAGTGTGGGCGCAGGTGTGGGTCGGGCGCTCGGGCTCACTCCTGGGAGTGGAAAGGACCCGCGAGGGCAGCGGCGGAGGGAAGGACTCGGACGGGCGGAGTGTGGCGACCCAGCCTCCCCGCGCATCTGGATTCCGTGTCAGGGTCTCCGCTAGTCTCTCCCCTTCCCACCCCTCCTGCTGCTCTCCTCGCCCTCTGCACTGCCCCCCCATTTCTCCTCCAGTCTCTTCGCTCCCCGGCTCTGCACTTCTTTCTCCCTATCCCTACCTTTCTGGGCCCCTCCTTTTCCCCAGCCCCTGCCCTTTTTTTGCTCTGGGACCTCTGTCCTCCTCTCCTTCCCTTCTCTAGGTGGAGCCTGGCACAGGTCCCAGCACCTGCAAGCTCACCAGGCAGATGCCCACGCCACTGGCACCGACATAAACTAATCCTTCTCCTGCGAAAGCAGAGAAAGCGGAGACAGGAGAGCCTCTGCGTCCCCTCTCTACCTGCAGGGAAGTGTCTTTTGCTCATGTCCACAAGGCGCCATCTATGCCAGGCTTGTTTTTATTTTATTAAAACTAAACAAAGTGAATCTCAGGAGCTATAATGCTAAAGGTGCTGTCCAAGCCTCCGCGGTATCGTAGGCACCAAGGGTGACTCAGTGGAATCCGAAACCCAGACAGCCAGACAGCACGAGACAGCTTGCCGGCCAAGAGCTCCGGCTCAGCCGCCCCGTTTCGAAGTCCACAGCCACTGCCTGTTTCAGAGGAATGGGCAGTGCCCACTCGGCCTTCGCCACTGTCTGCAGGTCAGCAGCCCTTCTTCAGAACAGGAAACACAACACACACTGCAAAAAAATCACTTGATTCTGGAAAAAAATCAATATCAAAATTAGATTTATTGTCTGCTTATGTGATTAAAAATGACAAAGTGTTGGCTTTTATTTTCATAAAAAGACAGAGGGCTGCATGAAATAATTTACTATCAAGTTCTGCTTGCTTCACTGGCCTGGCAGGACAGAGAGGAGGTCGATGGGTGGCGGGGATAGACCCCGAGCCAGGACAGGTGGATGGGCCGTGGTCATCATGGAGGATGTATTCAGGGGAGGGCAGGAGGAGAAGAGTCCCCTCATCTTGCAGTGCTGAGCTGCCCGAGCAGCTCTCGGTTCTGCCTGCTTCCAAAGAAATGCTGCATGGTCTGGCCCCTGCACCAAGAACTTTTAAACTCAAGCCCAAGTCCCCAGCCTTGTGCCCCTAAATAATGGTGATGTTATTGCTGCTTAATTGCTTTCTGGACCTGAGTAGCGGCAAGGGTTTCTGGCTTGCTCAGCTGGCCTCCGGGATCCACGGCTGGGCTGCAACTGTCGGGTCCAGAGCAAGTGTGGATGTGTCAACCGGCGTCCAGCTGATGGCTGTCGGTCGGGGCTGAGGTCAAAAGAAAGCATCTCCACGGTGGCCGATCCTCCCAGCATGGTGTGCAGTATGTACCTTCAAGGAGCACTACTGCTGTCGGTGCATGCTGAGGACACTCACACCGGAGAGATCTATGTTAAAAAACGAAAAGGAAAAGCTGAAACTCATGAAATGGAGCCCTGTGGTGTATAACCCATCCACACTCCCAGCCATCCTGGGCCAGGAAAAGGCTGGCTCAGGAAACCTTCCCAGGTGGTTTGGCTTTGCTGGGGCCCTTTGTGGTGCCGAAAAACCAGCACTCCCAATCCCTGAGCGCACCTCCACTGGGAGCTGGTGCTGTTGGGGGCACGTGTGCCGGGTGCTCTCTGTGGAAGAGCCTTTGGCCTTGCCCCCATCTGCATCCGACTTGGGGGGCTTCCATGTGTTCTCCAGAGTCTCCAGGAACATGACTGTCAAGAAGGTCCAGATCTCGGGGTCCAGGCCTTCCTAGAAATGTTGATAGGCCCCTTGGATGCCCGTTCCTATTCCTGGGGCCAGCTCACCCTGGGCATTATCGTCTCCCCATGCTGCTTCTGGAATGAAGGCCTCAAAAACGGTGGGCCGAGGGGCACCAGTGTGACAAAATGGCCTGGGTTTTTCCAGCACGGGCTTCTTCTAACAAGACAGAAGAATCTTGTGGCCAGCAGCTTCCCAGGAAACAAACCCTTTGGGACTCTCTGTAGCTGGGACAACCCCAGCCCAGGAGCAGCTGGCCTGGGGTCAGAGGTCAGCCCTTCCATGGCTGCTGGGTGCCCCTTGCACGCAGAGAGGGCAGACCTTACAGCACCCAGCTCCCCCACGACATGGGGTCTGGAGGGTGGAGTAGGCCTGTAAAATTTAGGAAATTCTAACTAGACCATTAGTTCACACTTCTTGATACCTTTTTTGAGGCAGGGAGGTATTAGTGATTCCTGCAAGTGTCCACACTGGGGGTAGCAGTGACTGCAGGCTTCAGGCACAATCTACTGCTTGCATCATTTCATTGCCTGATGCGGCCAGAGCTTAAAAGAAGTTGTCAGGAAGGTTATGAGAGGCAAATGAGCGGGTGGTGCCGTTCCAAAGTCGTGGACCTTTTGCTGGCCAGCAGAATAAAAAGCAGATTTCTACAAATGTCCACATGGACCACTCCGTGGTTCGAAGCAGAAGGCTCTTTGCTCATTGTAGCTGCGTGGAGGGCTCTCAGCGCCGGCTCTGGTGATGACCAAACAGCCAGTAGTTACAATTCTCTCTCCAATGAAAGCGTGGTCAATAGAATTCTTGGTATCAAATGAGCAATAATTTGCTGTGGCTACAAGCTGGATAATGAAAGATGTTAGTGGGATCAATAAAAAATGAAAACACTTTTACTTACATCTTGAGTTACTGTTTTAAGAGAGCGAGAGGCAACAAACCCAAAGCTAACTTAAGAGCCTTCCTCTCCTGAACGCAGAGGAGGCGGCCAGGCGCCCGCTGGCCGGTGGTCTGGTTCAGCAGAGGCCGTCCGGGCCTCCACCTTTTCCTGCCCGCGGGAGGCTGGATTTCTTCGGAGAGTCAGCCCTTACGAACCAGTGGCAAGGTCAGTACCACAGTACCACGCCCCTAGGCGGGGGGGGGGGGGGGGGGTGCCGGCGGAAATAAACCGTGAATTGTTTTCCACCAAGACTAAAGGCCACCTATAGTTTTCTGAAAGACTATGCAAATATCCCCAAGCCCGAACTGTCACTTGAAAAGCCTCAAGTAGCCATTTGCCCTAGCGGTCCACCAGGCCTGAGCTTTTCGCTTTTCGGTGGTACACAGCGTGACACAGCAAATCCAAAGCATTTCTTCGGATTTATTTAATTTAGAGCTTATGCACTCTCTTTTTTCAGGCAAATTATTCTCCCCCTCTTCTGCCACAATCATTTTATCTGTCCGGCATATTTCCAGTTGGTGTTGGATTTATTTGTCCTCCCCACTCTGCTTTTAAACTATCGAATTCCAAATTCTGACTTATGTGGTCGTAAAGAATCCTATTGTGAAACGATCAGAGAAAAACTCTTATTTTAAGAACATACTAAGATTTTTAAAACGAGAAAAACACCTCAAGGGCTCTGTATAAAACAGGCACAACGAAAAGGCTCAGGGCCAGAGAGCTTCAGAACCAGTATGGGTCAAGAACACTCCGAGACGCGGAGCTGGGTGCCACTTCGGGTTCAAGGAGAGTGCGTTCTCCGCGTCACTTCAGAAACAAAGCAGAACAGAAATGCAGCCCGAATGCCCTCGACAGAGAGGACGCCGAGTAAACCTGCACCTCTGCAGGGCGGGGGAGGCGAGTGAGCAGCTTTCCGGGCCGGACTGGTTCCGAGAGGCCGCCGAGATTGCGCCGTGCTCCGGGCCTGCGCATCGCAGCCGCGGTCGGGTCTGGGACGCCCAGCGCTGGCTCTGCGGGCTCGAAGTGCGGGTGCGCGCCTGGCCCACGCGGGACGCGCCCGGCACCCACAGCCCGCAGCTCGCGGC